ATATATACACACACACACACATATATACACATATACATATATATATATACACACACACATATATATATATACACACACATATATATATACATATACACACACACACATATATATATATACACACACACATATATATACACACATATATATATATACACACACACATATATATATATACACACATATATATATATATATATATATATATATATATATATATATATATATATAAACACTGTATATATATATATATATATACACACACATGCATGCATTTATATGTATGTATGTATATATTCAATTGCTGATATTCCCTGATGAGTGGGTGGTACCATTCTTGGAGGGTCTATCTATGGAACTTTGGAGACAGGATGTGAAGGAAGGTAATATCAATACAGAAAGGGTATATGACAAACCTTTTATATATATTATATATATATATATATATATATATATATATATATATGTATGTATGTATATGTATGTACGTATTGAATAAAATGTAGTTGATAAACAAAAACGAAAATTATTTATTTGTTACTCAATCTAATATTTTCGGATTTGCAAAGTACAAAAGCAAATTGGGAGAAATGAAGAAAGGCCTGCTTGTTAGGAAAATCAGCTTTTAAAATCCTGTTTTCTTTCTTTTTGTTTTTAGTTTAAACCATGGGAAGGATCATGGATTTCAGCTAAAAAGAAAACCACAAAATAATGGTTACCCTATTTCCTCTACCATAAGACTTGCTGTCTGTGTTTGTATTAACATTGTTCGTTTACCTTCCCACCTTGTCCACCAAGGGACATGTAACATCAACATGGTGGCATTGTATAAAAGTTCTTCAACTGCAGGACGCTACAGTGACAAGACAGGTCTCATTTCCCTTCTCAGAGAACTTGTTAATCCCTAGTGCATATTGCAAACAGAATCCTATCACCCCACCATCCCCTGTTTGAAAATGGACTTAAGGCCATATCACACTGAAACATCAGTCTCATATGTTCACCAAAGTTAAGCAATATCAAGCCTGGTCAATACCTAGATGGGTTACTGCTTGGAAATAGCAGGTGATTTAAGCTTGGATGTGTGGGTGGTGTAAAGGCCTTACGAACATATCACACTGAAACACCATTTCTTCTACAATCATCGAAGTTAAGCAATGTCAAGCCTGGTCAGTACCTTGATAGGTTACAGCATGGGAATACCTGGTGTTGTAAGCTTGGATCTACAGGTGGTTTAATGAGTAATGTCTAAGAATTCAAAATGAGAAAGGCGAGTTCCAATTCCAGTGAAATTCATTATATTCACATGCACAAATAACCTTGGGAAAGGTGTTTATATACATCTTCTCCCTCCAGCTATGGGTTAATTAGTAAGAATTGTATCAGTAAATCATTATTATCTCTAAAAAAATTCTTATGATCTAAAAATATTTTTTGGCTTTAAATAACCTTAAAAATGTTGATAAGCCATAAAAAACAAATTAACCATGTTTGAAAAGCCCTCATGCAACTGCAATAATATCTCTGCTACAACCTATCTGTTGTGTTGGAAACCTATCACCCCTTTTGATGATGAACTTGTCTGCGTCTGTGAACAAAGACTTTAAATAGTGGCATGTCAGTTGACATGGGGAAGATAGCTAGACAGAGAAGTTCTTAGCTGAGCTAGTTATTGACTACTCAGGCGATTTCTGTACCTTTTTACCAACCTATTAAAACCCTTTTTATTGTTACGTGTTATTTGGCGTTTGTCTATACTAACCCCAAATCAACATCATAACAATATCACATAGAGAAAAATATTACACTTCAAGAAAAAATAGCGATTTTTTACAAAATGGCAAAATTTGCATAAAAAAAAAAGTAAAAAGAAACTGTAGTGTTTTATACCTTAAAAGATGTTTGCAATAGACAATTTCAGTCATGTTGCATTTTTATATAGCTGATCTATGCCCATGAAAATAAATAAATTAGCTTTATTTATGGGTGATTTTATCAAGTTACAATCTCTAGAATGGCTACCAATCAAAGTGACAGAAACCAATCTGTCCTGCTATTTAATACATAGGTGGGTGTAGAAGAGATGGATTCATGCCTTTCCCAAGAGTATTTGCATGTAAGTAAATGTGATGAAACTTTTGGAATTTGTTTGAAAATCTCTCGAAATTTCTCAAAAATGGGCTGCAAAAATTACATTGGAATTTACATCTGTAACAATATCAGTAACCCATAAATAACAGACACCATCAACTGATATTGAGATCAGGAGATATCATCAAATTGAGGGATGAAACCTTTTCCAATTATACTGGCATCATTCATTCATAAGTCACATTTAAACAGTTAATTGCCAGTTGGGGCATTTCAGATTCATGAAATTTTTTTATTGAGAATTATTGGTGTGCAAATAAAGAAGAACGAACCAAAGACAGTGCTATGTCTGCATTCATTCTTCTCAAAGACTTGTTTTAGGATTCATTCATTTAGAGAGATGGATCTTATCAACCCTTTGCAGGTTATTAAAAAGCCAGAAAATAGTTTTAGACTGTCAAATTTTTTTTTTTTGTTTTTAGATAATGGCTTATTTGAAAAACAAATTAGATAATCTTCTGGGGGATCAATTCTATATTATAATAAATATAAACTGATTTCCTTTTTTTTCAGGCCATATCAGTATTTTGATGTATGCATTCATATTCCAGAGAATATAAATAAATCTAAAAGACATGCTTGTGTAGCTAATCAGCATTTCATTGATTGACTGATTCATTTTTACAGCTTATCTGTAGTAGGTTATTTAAAGCCAGAAAAAATAGTTTTAGATTGTCAATTTTTTTTTTCGTTTTAGATAATGATATTTAATGATACAAGTATAGATAAATTTTTTCAAAATCAATTTATATGATAATAAAATATGAACTTTGATCCCCTAAACTTTTATGGCCAAAACATTATTATCTATACATTTATATTCAGAGAATGTAAATAAATCTAAAAGACATGCTTGTGTAGCTAATCAGCATTTCATTGATTGACTGATTCATTTTCTACAGCTTATCAACCCTTTGCAGGTTATTTAAAGGCAAAAAATAGTTTTAGATTGTCAAATTTTTTAAAGTAATAATGTGGATATAAAGTGGGGGATCAATTTTATATCACTCAATCAATATATATATATACACTGATCCCTCATTTTGTGGCTATGGTAGTATCTATACATTTATATTGCAGAGAATGTAAATAAATCGAAAAGACACGCCTGTGTAGCTAATCAATATTTCATTGATTGATTCATTTTCTATAGCTTATCAAACCTTTACAGGTTATTTAAAGCAGAACCTTCACACAGACCAAGCATTCGAGAACCTGACACAACCAGGTTTGCCAGATCTCGCCTGTTTCAATCCCCTTTGAGCTGTGAGGGAGTCACTTCTGGCCAAGTGTGTGGGTTTCTAATGAAAATCGGAGAAAAAAACCAAAATCAAATTCACATGGTCAGCCTCAGAAAAACACTATTTGGTTTTTTTCTCATGTCATCTTTCAACATCACCACCAGTGTTTATGGGTTAAAAAAAATAGGAAGAGAAGATGATGATCCCAATGATCAGATGTGATCAGATGCCAACAACAATATATCTATTTCTCTAAGTTAGGACATTATGTTGACAGTTTCAGTATTTTGGATTAATTTTTCTCATCTTACTTTCTTTTTAGCATTTGTCTTATAGAAATTAAAAAAAATATTCAGATTGAAAATGGGTTTCATCTTGAAAAATAAGCTAACATGTTTTTAAGTAAATACTTTCAAATTAAAATGTTTTTCCCAGGAATTATTGAAAATTGGCATGTGTTAAGTAAATACTTTCAGTTAAAATGTGTTTTCACCTTGAAGTGCAGCTTTGGCATGTGTTAAGTAAATACTTTTAAGTTAAAATGTGTCAATTTTCTTTGCGTGCAGCTTGACATTTGTTAAGTAAATACTTTCAGTTAAAATGTGTTTTATCTTGAGTGGAGCTTGGCATGTGTTAAGTAAATACTTTCAGTTAAAATGTGTTTCACCTTGCGTGCAGCTTGACATTTGTTAAGTAAATACTTTCAGTTAAAATGTGTTTCACCTTGCGTGCAACTTGACATTTGTTAAGTAAATACTTTCAGTTAAAATGTGTTTTATCTTGAGTGGAGCTTGACATGTGTTAAGTAAATACTTTGAATTAAAATGTGTTTCCCCATTATTGAAGCTTGGCATGTGTTAAGTAAATACTTTCAGTTAAAATGTGTTTCACCTTGAGTGCAGCTTGACATTTGTTAAGTAAATACTTTCAATTAAAATGTGTTTCACCTTGAGTGTGAATTGATATCATTCATTACTGGTGGCCACAATCTTAACAACATACGATATGCAGATCACACAGTGTTGATAGCAGATGCAGAAAGAAGACTACATGATCTCCTACAGATGGATATGAAGGAAAGCAAGAAGAAAGGACTAAACATTAATTACACAAAGACAGAATGCATGATTGTCGGCAAAAGGAATAGTCCAACATGCAAATTGCAAAATCAAGCAAGTATAACAATTTAAATATCTGAGAAGTTTTAACAGAGGACAAAATGTGCAACAATGAAATCCAAAGGTTCATTGGGATACTGAAAGATGCTTTCTAAAAGCTAAACAGCATATTAAGAAACAGGAAAATTTTGTTAGGAAAAAAAGAAAAAAGTACTCAGTCAATCAATCCTGCCATTTCAGACTTAATTCCAGAAAATAACAATACAAAGCAAGTGCAAAAGTATGCAAGATTCTAACGAACACGGCCACAACTAATGAAGAATGTGACTAAAGAAAAACAAATAGAGTTGTCGTCAGAGATGCAAGGTGATGTTTGAGTCACTTTAGCAAGCACTTTGTATAAATGGGTTTGACTGTTCGCAGATACAAACTGATCTTGACAGGAAACTGGTTTGGAAGGTGGGGGTTGGAAATGTGGACAAATTATTCATCAGTCGGAGGTTAAGTAAGAAATTGTGAAAGACCAACAAAGATGAGAAGAGTATGAAAGAAGAAAAGGAAAATGGTAAACTGAGAGTGGGAAAGAGAAAAAGAAGAACAAAAAGACTATTAGAAGGAACGAGAATGAAATGTGGTAGGAGAAAGAGAAGAAAAGGAAGAAGATGAAACAGTAAAAGAAATAAAGTGAAAAAGAAGTTAGTGAAAAATAAAGAGAAACAAATAAGTAAGAGGGGATATAAATGAGAAAAAGAAATAAATAGTGAGAGAGAGAGTAAAAAAACAAAAGTGAAAAAAGAGAAGAGAAAAAGTGAGAAAGAAAGGAAAAAAAGAGAGAAAAAAAGGAATAGAAAAAGAGAAAAAAAAAAACAGTAGGGAAAAAAAGAGAAAAAGAAAAAAAGAAAAAGGATTGAAAAAGAAAAAAAGAAAAATAAAAAGGAGGAAAAAAAAGAAAGTAAAAGGATTTAAAAGAGAAAAAAGAAAAAAAAAGAGTGAAGGAGAAAAAAAAAAAAAAAAAAAAGAAAACGGGGGAAGAAACCGAGAGAGAAAGGAAAAGGGGGGAAGAGACAAAGAAGAAAGGTGGAAAAGACAGAGAAAGGAAACGGTGGAAGAAAGAGAGGGAGAAAGACAGGAAAAATGTGGAAGAGAGAGAGAGAAAGACAGGAAAAAAAATGGAAGAGAGAGAGAAAGACAAAAAAAGAACAAAGAGAGAGAGAGAGAAGGAAAAAAAAGGAAGAGAGAGAGAGAAAAAAAAAGGAGGAAAGAGAGAGAGAAAGGAAAAAAAGAAGAGAGAGAGAAAAAGGAAAAAGAAAGAGAGAGAAGAAAAAAAAAGGTGGAAGAGAGAGAGAGAAAGGAAAAAGGTGGAAGAGAGAGAGAGAAAGGAAAAAGGTGGAAGAGAGAGAGAGAAAGGAAAAAGGTGGAAGAGAGAGAGAGAAAGGAAAAAGGTGGAAGAGAGAGAGAGAAAGAAAAAGAGAGGAAGAAAGAGACAGGAAAGAGAAAAAATTTGGAAGAGAGAGAAAAGAAAAAAGGTGGAAGAGAGAAAGAGAAAGGAAAAAGGGAAGAAGAAAGAGAGAAAGGAAAAGGTGGAAGAGAGAAAGAGGGAAAGAAAGAAAAAAGGTGAAAAAGAAAGAGAGAAAGAAAAAAAAGGTGAAGAAGAGAGAGAAAAAAAAGATGGAAGAGAGAGAGAGAAAAAAATGGAAGAGAGAGAAGGAAGAAAGGAATAAAGAAAGAAAGAGAGAAAGGAAAAAGAAAGAAGAGAAGAGATTTGAGGAAAAATTAAAGATTTAGGAGAAAGGAAAAAAAAGGGAGAGAAACTTTTTTTATTGGAAGAAAGAGAGAAAGAGAAATATTGGAAGAGAGAGAAAGAGAAAGGAAAAAGGTGGAAAAGAGAGAGAGAAAAAGAAAAAGGTGAAAAGAGAAAAAAAAAAAAAAGGTTGAAGAGAAATAGCAAGGTAAAAAGGAGAGAGAGAAAAAAAAAGGGGGGAAAAAGGATTTGAAAGAAAGGAAAAGTGAAAAGAAGACATTTTGGTTTATGTTGAAAATTGAGAAAAATTCCAAAGAAATCAATTGTTTAAAGACAGAAACAAATATAGAAGAAAAGAAAGATAAAAGTAAAAAAAAAAATGTATTATTTAAAAAAAAAAAGGAAAAAGAGGAAGATAAATAAAAACAAGGAAAAGATTTTTGAGAGAAAACATTAAAAGTGAATCTTTGAATCAAAAAAAATTTTAAATTTGTATTTTAAAGCAAAAAAAAACAAAAAAAATTAAAATATTACAAAAACGTTTGTTTCGAAAAAAAAAAAAACTCAGAAAAGTAAAAACTGGAACAGACTCAAAAATTGTGATCAAACCGGAAAGTAATCGAGGATTGGTTCTGTGTTAGACCAATTTTAATATATTCAAAACAAAAATATTAAACTTTATTAAAATAAAATATTCACACAGGATTCAAATACAAAATGATATATATTTTTTTATTTTTATACAGAGTTTATTTTTATTATAAAATGCACATTTGAGTTACTATCCTTGTTTTTTTTTATTTTCTTAAACCATAAAGTTAATAACAACCTTCCTAGATCAAAATGTTAAAACTAAAAAATCAATGCCTTCAAATGGAATCGAACAATTTAAACCTAATTTTTCCTTTTTCACATTCATCTATATATGAGGGTGGTCTGAAAAGTTCATAGGCTGATTATCTAAGAGTGATGTAAAATGTAAAATCTTGCATGAATTTATTTCAACTCTTCTAATTAATAACTGCATTGTTTCTAAAAGTTTAATTTCAATTTGAAAATATATATATATATATATATATATATATATACATATACATATACACACACACACACAAAAGGGTGTCCCAAAATAATGTATAAAAACTTTGAATCATTATAATTTATTCAAAATAATGTTTTTTTTTTAAAAATAAGATTAATAAAGAGAAAGAATAGGCATTTAAAAGAATTTGAATAGCAAAATATTACAAAACACATAGAAAATAAACTTTAATAAGGTTAAAGCTACTTGGGACAATGGCAGAATGTTCATATAATGATGAAAAATCATACCATCAAGTGCTCAGAATGGTTGCTGTTCTGTTCAATACACTTTTCATATCTTGCAACCTACAAATATCCATTGTTTCATTTCCTCTGGTATTTGAACATATTCTTCTTCAATTGCTACTCTCAGTTCAAAAATTTTTTTCAGGTTCCTGCTAAAAATTTTTTCTTTTAAGACCCCCCAAAAAAAAGAAAAAGTTTTGTCAAATCTGGTGATCTATTTATTTTATTCAACTGTTCCTCTTCTTCCAATCCATCTGTTTGTTATATTTTCATCCATAGAAGTTTCTCACATCATGGTAATGTGTTATTAACAATTAATATTTAAAATGTATACATTATTTTGGGACACCCTGTATAAAAATTTCATATAATTAAATTTAGATCATTTTCGAATATAAGGCCCGAAATATTTATGGGGCAACAAAGTGAGGATTATGAAAGTTGTTTATTATATATTATATATTAGGAGAAATTCAATTTAAAAATGCTAAGCATTTTATCCCCTCGAAGTGCCCAAAAATGATTAAATCTAGGAAAATTTAGATTTTTTAACAAAAAAAAAGTATGAGGCACCCAGTAAGAATCGAACTCATAAATCAGTCATAATTTGATCTAGCAAGACAATTTTTTTTTTTTTAACCATTACAAAATGTGGAAAGCCTTTGGGACACCCTGTGTGTGTGTGTGTGTGTGTGTGTGTGTTAAATGAAAATGAATGCAATTTATTTATCTTTACAGTTTGGGCTTGAAAATAAAAATTGCAGAGATTTTTTTTCAATGCATGTTGTTAGCAAGGCCAATAAAGAGGTGTTCTTTTATGCATCACCTGCAGGAAGTGAATGTCTTGTAGTAAGAAGAGGCTCCATCCTTGCAGAGGCTTATTTTCTCATGTTCATTTCTTGCAGCTTGATTTGTTGCAGTCAGCTGCCTCTGTTTCTTACTCAAGGTGGTTGATACTACAGGAGATGAGGGTCCTTTTCAAAATTTTGCCTAGAGATGAGTTCATGTATAGGAGAGGTATCTTGAAAAAAATATATATTTTATGAACACAATTAAAACAGATTGTTCCACTGAAGTTGACTTTTTACTTTAAACAATTGAATTTACCTTCCAATATTTTTTTTTATATCATTTCACTTAATTTTTGCAAGTAAATAATAAAAATATTATCTAAAAGCATTTACTTTTCCAAAAAGTTTTTTTGAAAAAAATTTTACAAAATTTAGGCATTTACAAAACGAAAAAAAAAAATTTGATTTTTGAAGAAAAATAGTTTATATATTTAGGAAATATAATAAACATTTTTATATACAGCAAATAAATTATTTAGGAACCCAAGAAAAATTTTGATAGATTTTTTTTTTTTTAAATAAATTTTTTTTTTTCATTCAAGAAATATTTATAGAATTTACTGAACATTTTTTTCTTCTTCTTCTTTTTTTCATTTTAAAATAATTTGAGTTTAAGTAAAATGACAACACACACAAAAAAGATATTTATTATTTTTTCATTAAAAAAAAATGATACTTTTAATGATTTATCTTTTATTTTTTTTTCAAGATCATAAAACATTCAGGGTATCAAGAAACTGAAAGAAATTTCTATGAAGATTAGATGCTTCCATACATATTTATGACCTATTTTGTGTCTGTGTATTATTTTTTGAGTTTAAAGGGTTGTTCCAACATAGGTCTCTCTTATGTTCGTAGATGTAGCCTTTTAGATTCCAAGATGTTTCGCCAATTTAGCTCTTCCTACATTGTAGACATTTTATGTTATAAATCCCAGCATCTGATGTAGTGTTAGATCTATTTTTCTTCCTATATCTCTGAGAGTGTTGGTAAAGATGTTAGTGTTGGGGATAAGTAATTTGTTTTCAAATTTTGTTGATAGAGTGTCAGAGGGTAGGATTATGAATTATGTATTTTTGTTTTCAGAACAAATATATTATTTTTGTTTTTTTTTTTTTTCATTTAACCCCAAGCAAGGCAGGAATGTCACTAGTATGCAGGGGGTTACAGAGAGTGAAAAAGAGAGAAAAAATGGACTATAGGGGGATTGAGGAAAGGAAAAATGAATGGGGTTCAAAACACAGAAGATGGCAAATGATGTTGCATTTAAATTTTTAAAGATTGTAGTTTTCAGGGAAGCAAGTAAACAAAAGAGAATTCCTTTGATGGGAAGTATGAAAGAAGAAACTTTTGGAAAAGAAGTGTTGGTTACATTTAACTATTTCAACAGTAAAAGGTTGGGACCTAAATGCCAATCTAGTAGCATGCTTAAATTGATGTAGTCAAAGCACCAGGAAAAAAGCTCATCAGAGCAGTTGCCATGAAAACATTTGTAGAAAAGACAGAAGGAAGACATTTCATGTTGGCGAGAAAGTGACTGAAGTCAAAATGCCAAGTCAGGATCGATTA